TTGAAAATTTCAGATATTTTGCTTGGTAGTCATTTATAGATGCAATGCCACACCTATGAAATATAACATTGATAATGCTGTCAAAGCCACAATGATTGCTTTGTTCCTTGGCTGTCTAGGAGCTATAGCATCAATTTCTTACAGCTAACTCTGAGAAGAGAGAGACTACACCTCTGCAGGGGCAGATTGCATAATATATTTACACAAGTTCCTGGACAGATAACAAAGTTTCTTGTCACTGTTGCCTGAATAACACACTTCATGCAATCAGAGGTATTCCACAGAAGTCTTGTGTTCCTGAAACAAAAAACAGGACTATGTAGCACTTTAAAGACTAACAAGATGGTTTATTAGGTGATGAGCTTTATGTAGACTCTCTTCTCAAACCCTACACAACCAACACTCCCAGCTATCTCCGACATCTCTATTACTATTCTTTGTGATCCTGAGTTAGGGAAGCTGCCACAGGTATTGTGTTTTAAGCCATGAAGCAAACATGCACCTGCCTTTCCTAAAATAACTCACTGAGGAAATATATCAAACTTTCTGTATGGCATTGCTGCTGTCATGGCAGAGGTGTTTGGGAAATTGGGAACACTATAGATGGAACCTCCCTAGCCTGGCATTCTTTGGTTCGCCAACCTCCATGGACCGGCATGATTTTCGTTAGCCTGATATCCACTTATCATGGGTGTGACCAAGTTTCCTGCAGTCCCATAAACTTTGTTTACAGCCACCCTCAATATTTTCTAAGAGCCCAGGAAGCAGTGGAAGTGTTGGTAATGTTGCTAGACGATATTGACCTCCCATTGTTCAGCAAATTCTCTGCTTTGGCACTGATCCAGAGGGGGCCAGAGTTGAGAGGTTTCACCTGTAGCGACGTCACAGGTTACTAGAATGTCAAATGAAACCCCATACATTCCATGCCTGTTGTGTTCTCTCTGGCAGCCTGCAGGGTTTGTTTCCTAGCAGCATTTATTATTTCTGACTAACCATCAGGAAGTTGGTGGGGTTCTGCACATGTGGAATGTTTGAGCTGTCTCTGTTGGAATTCTAAACATCTCTCTATTGATAGCTGAGGTGCTCATAAATAGACCAGCTTTTCATGGACGGTGTCATTGTGAAAGTATAGGTGTGACTGGTGATATGCAATTATGGGATGGATACGTGGAGGCAATACAGGGGTTCCTCCAGACAGGCACCTAAATACAAATGGTCAGCCGCTCCGAAGGAAATGCTATGTCTCTGAAGCTCCTATGTTAAAATCAGACTATTTTTAGATAGGTGCCTAATTTTAAGCATTTGCATATGTTTGTGGAAAGCACTGCCCTCCACTGGAGAAAATGTTCCAGGCCGTTGTCCGCTGGTCCCTTTATTGCCTGAGTTAGTGGAACTGCTCCCTCAAATCACATCACAACCCACATTTCTGCTGCTGAATTTTAGTAAAGCACAAAAGAAGCCATTCCTACAGTCGATAATGGGCATTCTTAGGCACAGAATTGCCATCAGGGCTGCTCGTGGAGACAGGGAAAAACATTTAACGGCTGGACAAAGAAAAATAATTGCAGACAGAAAGTATACAGCTCCATAGCCAGAGAATGCAGATGCCTCTCCCCAGCCCCTGAGAAGCTCAGAGAAAACTTGATGGACAGGTTCTCAGCTGAGAGGAGTTTCCAGAGAACCAGAGTTTTCCCTCCTCAGCCTTGTGCTTTTCTTCATGATCTGCGTCTAACATGCCCTCTGCTTAGTATTTACTTAGTTCATAGGTCACATGTGTTTACTTTTATGCAATAAAAACAGAGAAGAAATGCAGGGGGAACACACACACAAGTACAGTGGTAAAACAGAACAGAGTTAAGAATAGATTTTATTTCCTCAATCAAAAAAAGAACGGCCATCCTGGGTCAGACCAAAGGCCCACCCAGCCCAGTGTCCTGTCTGCCAACAGTGGCCAGTACCAGGTGCCCCAGAAAGGGTGGACCGAAGACAATGATCAAGCAAATTGTCTCCTGCCATCCTTCTCCAGCCTTTGACAAACAGAGGCCAGGGGCACCATTCATTACCCCCTGGCTAATAGCCTTTTATGGACCTAGCAGTTACAAACGGGGATTTTCTCACCCCGGAGGACTGGAGCTGCGGGACGCCTGGTCCCGCCGCCCGCCTCCTCCGGGGCGAGAAAAGCTGCTCCCCGTCTCCTTGGTCTGCTGGGGGAGCCAGCAGACCAGGGAGACGCCGAGCAAA